CACCAGAATGTGAGAAGGACTAGAGAAAAAATATGCTTTGTATAACTCCTCACAATTTTCATGAAATAACGGGGTTATCAGTGGTTCCGTGTCTGTCTTCCCCACTAGCAGGCGCACTTCTGAGAGGGCAAGGAACGTACCAGGTGCTCTGAACTACCTGTGGAATCACTGAAGGAGATGGAGCGGAGCCGGGGGTGGGGCAGAGAGAGAGAGTTCTTCTATAGGCACCTCATTTTTAGGAAACATTTGGCTGAGTCCAGTGAGCCCTGAAACCGGCTCCTCCCGTGTCTGGGCACATCTCTGCTAAATTCCACAATCAGTGACCCCAAGTTGGTAGCTTACAATTAATTAGTCAAGGGGGGAGTCTGCAAATTCTATTTGAGGACTTCTTCTGAGGGGTGTTGGGAGCTGGCTATTTGCCAGCACACTGTGGACCGGCATGAGGGATACGGGGAGAGTTCAGACCCCCAGGAGAGGAGATGAGGTCATCCCACTTTAACATATGCACACTTAGTTCCGTCACTCTGAGGTTAAAGAGCGATCGATATGCCATTTAGATGAGCAATATGTTATCATGATGTGTTCTTGATAATACCAGAGACAATGACAGACCCTCTGGAATTATGTACGTAGCTATTGGTGTAGGAATTTATTACACTCGGGTTGTGACTATTCAACTCATCTCCATAAAGGCACGTCCCCAGTTGGACAGACAGGTGTTCTAGAACAAGATCGCTGCACGGCAAATTCTAGGTACTTTTCTGGTTTTTGCTATTAACGCTTTTTAGTTTCTCATGTGGGACTTGAACCCAAAGATGACACAGAAGGTGGTACTCGCTCTCAGCACCCATCTGCTGCTCATAAACAACCCATCTACTTCCCAAAGCACACAGGACTCAGCTTTTGTGGCGCAGCCAAGCAAGGCAAACTACCAGAAAGGGAGGGAGAAGGGAAAACCCTGCCTGCCCTGCTCCAGTCTTCTTAAACACTCTCAGACCATCCTTCATTCTGGAGGCTCTTCTCCTCCTCATCTTTTATGGACTCTAAAACAGCAAGGAGGAAATTCTTCTTTATAACACTTGGATTATAGCTCCTTTCCTTTAAGATACCAGGTAGGTTTTAGACCTTTGGTTAAACTATGTTAAGTGAAAGCAAAATTCAATACAATAGCCCCCATGCTGGCTTGTGGAGCCAACCGCGTCTCTGGACATCTGCTTTGCCTCTCATGGCAGCATGGGCATGGCTAGCCCCGGTTAGGTGTCACTGATGGCGGGTCTCTAGAAGTCCATTGAAAAATACTACCTCTGGTCACCAAAGACTCACCAGACCTCTGAGGAGTATATCAACTCTGTTACCACTTTACCGACCTATGAAACACAGACTAATAACACAAGTAATCGATGTGGGCGAGGGTTAGGAGCCGTCCCTGTCTCCATTCTTGGATTTCATGGTGTTCCCACGTTTCTGGATCTGTTCACATTTTGTTCTGGCTAAATCCCTCCTATCAGGGAAGAGGCTGGAGAGCCTTGGGGGTGGATGTACTGAGGGCAGGAAGGTGTGCGGGCTGGGATGTCAGGGAGAGGAGCCCCTGAAGTGGTAGAGGATAGAGGAAGGGAGCCTGAAAGGGGTCCCCAGCTGCTACTTTTAGTCAATGGCAGCTTTTAGTGTGGAAGTGGGGGCACAGAAAGGGGGCAGGATGCTTGGTGTCCATGCTGTCCACTCAGAAGAGAAAGGCTGCAATTACCTGTGGGCTGCACAAATGACTACAGCTGGAACCAGACTTAATGGGTGGGGCAGGTTCCTGAACTGAGAAGGATTTGCTAAGTACCCTCTGCTCAGCCCTGAGAGAAGTTATTTTCTCTTGGCTGGGTGTGGTCAACTCTGAACGTGCGTTGCCACGTAACGCGAGGCAGGAAAAGCTGCGTTGGTACAGAGTAGGCAGCTCCAAGAAAGCGAGAAGCTGTGCAGTGTTCTGGAAGGGACATGATACAAAAACTAAGACGACCCAGGTTCCAGAACTTTGTGCCACTGCGCAGCTTGTGATCTGGGCCAAGTACACACGCCTCTCTGGGCTTCATTTATCACCTCTACAGTGGAAATAACATGTGCCCAGTTTCATAGGGGGTAAAGTTGAAACTGGACAAAGCTTAAGAGTAAGTTTTAAAAGCTATAAAGCACCGCCTGACTACAGAGTCTGCTACTCTTACTCTTTGGAGGAAAACATCTTATGAAAAACTGACTACACTAACTGCTAATTTCAGAAAGGAAAGCAAGAGGCAGGAAAACAGAAACTCATGAAGACCCAAACTACAACCAACCAACAGGCATTCTGTTCTTCCGGCCTGGACATAGAGGCCACTTCCTAAGAAAAACTGAAATGCTGACTTGTTTTTGCTCAGCACGACGCACCTTTACTGGGTCTCGCGTTAGCTGCCGTGCAGACCAAACAACCCACTGGGCAAATGCCGCCCGCTGGTGAGAGATGAGCGGGACGTGGTGAAGTTCGCAGAGATGGCAAAGTGAGGCCTCCCTGCACCCGACTGAGCGGAGCTCACAGGCCGCGTACCCTGGGCCCCGCTGCTTGGTGGTTTCCCCAGCTCCAGTCAGGACAGAAGTCAGGCTCCAGTAGGGGCCCTGGATAAAACCTGCAGAGATGCACGGAGGCTACTTGGAAAATGTACTGTTGTTGGAAACAGCTTCTTTTGGGCCTTGTGCGGGTATCTGGAGGGCATGTGAAGGGCAGGCCAGACCAGGACTGGGGAAGAAGTGAGCTGGAGGCGGCCAGTGCTGTCAGGGAGGGGTAGCTGCAGCTGGCTGGGGGGGGGGGGGGGGGGAGGGGGGGGGGGGGGGGGGGCACAGAGGGGTGAGGGTGGCAGGAAGGCAGGAACCAGAGGACAGCAGTGCCGTCTGGCTCTGCCCGTGAACGAGAAAAGGCAGAGTCTCGGTTCACACGGACCCAGTGCCAACCGGGGGACAGTCTGCAGTGGGCTCCCGGCGGGGGAGGCATCCCCACCCCGGGCCCTGGCGCTGACGTGGCCTCTTCTCCCACCTCTGCAGAAAAGTATGTCTGCGCACCACGAGGCAGAGGGACGACGCTACCCAGGGAAGGAGGAGAGGAACACTGAGGGGAAACTAAGAGAACATCTGGATGGAGGAGGGCAAAACGTGCTCCCTCCTCCTCGTCTCATCCCAGGAAGGAGTGGGGGGCAGATGGAGAAACTGGCTGTGCCTCCCACCCCCTTCCACCTATTCTCATTTTTCACTTCATTTCACGTGATAAGAACATAATGTCATTTTTCTGTTAGTCATCCCATTAGCAAACACAGTCGCCAGTTCACAAAACTGCTTTTCTGGGAGTCAGTGGGCCACATGGGCTCCAGCCCTGTGCCTCACACTCGTCCCCCCAGCCAGCCGTCTCCATGGGAACGCCCAGGGCTTCCGGGCTCAGGGGGCCTTGGGAAGGAGGGGCCTGCCTTCCAGAGGGGCCAGGTCCTGTCCTTTAACTGTGTGTCCCTGCTCCACAGGGCCAATCCCCGAAGGCTGCCATGGGGGTCTGGTGAGAGTGGGGTGCTAACACAGTGCCCCCCGTTCAACAGCTCCGATTCCTCCAGCATCTCCTGTGACAGGCTCTGTCCTCAGAGCTGGGGGAACACTGGGACATCAGCCTCAGGCCAGCCAGCAGAGAAGGGCCCTTAAAAGGCGCTGCTGGGTAACTGAGGACAGTGGCTGGAGAGGGGGGTTAAAGAGCACACAGGCTCTGCAGTCCCACAGCTCAGTGGCACACCAGCTGTTATTCTAAGCCAGTTACTTAACCTCTCTGCGGTTCAATGTTCTCAACTCTCAACAGGGACAGAACAACACCTACCTAATCGTGTTGCGAAGACTAAAGAAGGGAGTTTAAGTAACTTTACACAACATTCAGCCCTAGGTAAAGTTACGTATTAGCTTTAACTGAAAATGATAATCGGAACAATAAGAAACATGGGAAGTATCATGGCAGGACAGCACGGGGTGGGACAGAAAGGCTTAACAGAAACACCTACTCCAGTCTGAAGGTGGGAGAAGAGGTTAGAGAGTCAGGGGCAGTTTCCTGGAGAGGACTGAGCTTGGACCTAGAGAAGAACTTGTATGAAGTTAACGCTTTATTTAATTTGCTACGTGGCTAGACAGGTAAGACTCCATGATGACTCATCTAGCCCACACCTCAAACTCCTGGGCAACAGCCTCCCTCCCTCCTGGCTGCTCCACTGCAGGAACCTCAGAGAGCCAGGCCACTGTGAGCACAGACAGCAACTCTGGGGAGCACTTGGCGGCAGCAGCCACAATGGACGTTCCAGAAGCAGGACCACAGCCCGAGCTCCTGCCACGTGGGGCCGGCAGGGTTCCTGGGAGCACCCCACCTCCACCCCACTCACAGCCACTGACGAGTCAGGGGCTCCTTCATACACCCTAGTGATATGCTAATTCCACGAGTCCTTCACTGGGGCAACTGCAGATAGAGCCAATACACTGGTTCCATCTTAGTGTTTTTAACACTGTTCAAGAGACAAGTTTGCCACCCTGTTCCCAAAATAAAGTGGCCCAAAACCCACCCACAACTGTTTTCTACAAGTTTTCTAGTAAGTCTTGTTTGTAATTAGTAAAGACTAGGGAGTGGCTCCTGTAATTAGGCCAACATCGGTTCTGACACTTGTGTTTTCCGGAATGTTCCTTCAGTGGACTATAAAACCTCCTATCGATATTGGAATTACTGAACTGAACTACGATCACGACCAGAGCCTTCAAGCAGAGCAGAGTTCACAAGCTGCCCAGACAAAAGAGAGATTTTTATATACTTGAAGGCACCTGTGATTACTCCAGGGCTTTTCCAATTCAAAGACTCAGTGATAAATTTTCATTGCTAAACCTAAAGGCAGATCACTAAATAACTCAGACAGTCTCTTCACATTTTTCAGGTGAGTGAAGCTTCCATTTTCATGTCACATTGATTGCAGACTTACCGAGGTCGATAAGAATCGCATGCTGTTGGGAGGTGAGCCGTTTTAAGAGTTCTTTGTACGGCGTGTCCTTTGGCCGCTGTTTGCTGGGAAACTGGTGTTGAAGGCAGTATTGCTCTGCTAAGAATTTCCAGATTTCCCCCCGGAGATGACGTGGCACACCTTGGGGGGGGGGGTGCGGGCAGAAAACAGATTTTATGCTCAGAGTACAACCTAATAATGAAGATGAGTTCAGTTTCATTCCACTGACCCAACCTCTTGTTCCATATGGATTAACAGCATTGAAATGGAAAGGAAACAACCAAAATTCTATTCTATCTGCTCCCCTTCCTGCCTCCCTCCACAGCCCCATCCTTCCCCCACCTCCCCGGCCCCTCACTTTCCCTTCAGCTCTCAAATACGTACTTTGTTCGGACTGGGCTAGACCCAGGAAGGGATGAACTGGTGAATGACACGAGCCCCTATCTAGGGCCAATTCGTAACGTTCTAGGGACGGACGCCCAGGCACATAAAATTACAATGCACAACGTCGTCTCCTACAAGGGAGGTGAGCAGAGTGAGGGGGTTCAGATGAAGGAGAGCAAGAGGTCGTGGAATCCCTCACTTGTGTCAAGATGTCAGAGTGTGGGAGGAAGAGAGAAGACGAGTTGAAGGAAGGAACTAGAAGCCTGGGGCACAGTGCGCACGTGTGGAGGAGGCAGGTGGCAGTCAGGCTGGAAGGGTTTTATTAAGAGGCGACATGAAGGATAAACAACCTGCACTTTATTGAGCAGCCGTGGGGAGCTACGGAATGTTTTTGAGCTGGGGAGGGAGCAGTCTAATCGGGAAATGCTGCTTAGACACTGCGTGCCAGGTGGGCGGAGAAAGGGAGGAAAAGCTGGATACTGCCCACATAAATGTGCCTCGCAGAGCATTCAACCAATCTGTGAAAACAAGAAAAGCTATCCGAGAGCCTCTCTTCCATGTTTTAAACACAAGTGATTTGACTACTCAAAGTGATTAAAAATGTCATCTGAAACTATGAAAAGTTCTCTTAAAGCCGATGATGCTATTTAAGGCAAAGTTAGGTAGCAAGAGTGACGGTTTCGATTCAAAACTTTTTGGTTCACCATTCTGCTGTTGTTATGAGGCCCAGATGTGGAAATGGGGGAGAAGGGAGCCTGCAGAATAAGACACCAAATCTTTCTCATCTCTCACAGGAGCTCTCTTGAAAGAAAAGGAAGCTGCAGTTTAGGGACAAATTGCGACTGCTTTGTACACTTGCCAGCTACTCAGAGCGCCTGCCCAGGGAGGCTGTGTTCCTGGCTTTCCACTGGCCACGTCTGAGGGAAGTTTCAGCAGCAGGTGACATTTACCATGAGGTCACCAGGTGCTGCCACCATTCTAAGCAGTCTGTCATTGCTGAGGGAAAGAGGATGATGATCCTCATGGTAAAGACGAAGAAAATGAGGCCAACAAGCACAGATCCCTCACCCAAGATCACCCAGCAGCTGGTTCGGAGCAGAGCAGAGAAAGCACCTGCTGTTTCCCTCTTCATGTCTTCCCTGTCACAACAGTCAGACAAGCTGCTCCTCAGAGGGGTACTGGAAAAATGTATGTTGTGTTCCTGCCTGGCAGTCAGTAATAAAATCATCATCTGTGGCTCTGAACCAGAGAACACTCAAGGTCATTTATTACCAGATCCACAAGGAACTATTTAGAACAATCCCTCAGCCGTCTCTTAGAAATACTCTAGGTGGGGTGGCTAGGTGGCTCAGCCGGTTGGGCATCTGACTCTTGATTTCAGCTCAGGTCTTGATCATGCGGTCGTTGAGTTCAAGCCTGCACTGGGCTCCATGCCCATTTATTATGAAATAAATAAATAAATACTCTAGGTATGGTAAGTAATTTGATTTTTCCCTTACACATACCAGTTGTAAAAGAATAAAAAAGGTGAGCCTGTGGGAGATACCCAGGGCCACACTTAACTGTGACCACATCTACACCTTCTCTAAATGCCGGTCTCACAGCATTCATCTCATGACCTTGTGTAGTCCCCCAGAAACACATGTCCTCATCCTAACCCCCAGAACCAGTGAATGTGATTTGGAACAAGAGTTTTTTATAGCTACAATGAAGGTCCTGAACTGAGATCATCATCCGGACTATGCAGGCGGGTCCCCTAGCCAAGGACATGGGTCTCTATAAGAGACGCAGGGGAGCAGGCAAGACGGGCAGGCAGTGTGACCAGGAGGCAGAGACTGCAATGCCACAGCCCCAAGTCTAGAAATGCCAGCAGCCTCCACAGTAGCCAAGTACAGCCCGGCCAACACCTCCACTCCAGACTTCTGGCCCCCAGGAGTGCGAGAGAAAAAAGTCCTGTTGTTTTAGCCACCAACTTTGTAATCATTTGTTATGGTAGCAAGAGGAAACCAATACACCCTGACGTCTGCCTTTGTATATTATTCCACTCCTCCTCTCTCTGCTGTCCCTGCTCAGAGAATACCTTACGGTGTGAGTACACATGCACACGCACGCGCAAGCCCTCAACATTTCAAACTATGTTAGAAGTAAATGTGGCTTGAAAAGCAGTCAACATGTTAAGTGATTTATAGTGGGGCTTTTCACAAAGTATTTTTTTCAGCCTGGGAAATTTTCCCAAAGTATGAGATGACCAATTTCCTCTTATTACTAAATCATTCTCATTATCTTACAGATCTTTATTTTTTGGAGGAAAAGAATACTCCTTGTGTCACTGGACAGTACCACATATTTTGGTATAGGAGAGCTTAGGTTTTGTGATTTAAAAACAAAGAGTCATGCAAGTTGGAGCCAGTGCCTTTGCTGAGAAGGACCTGGCACCCACTTCCCCAGGCTCAGTTTGCCTTCACTCGTAACCCACTCCTACCCCAGGCCTGCAAGCAGGGTTCGGCGTGGACAGGAGGCCTCTCTCCCCCAAACGTAAATACCTTTTTTATTTTTACTAACTTCAAAAGTAATTTGTGCTCACCATTTTTTTTTAAAAAGCCCTTCTAAAAATGCAAAAGATATAAAGAAAGTGAAAAACCACTCATAACTAGAGCGAACATATAATTCACCACCCAAAGTAGGAAGCTCTTGAAAGCAAAGGGAGGAAGGTATTAATTATTTCACTGGGACAAGCTGTAAACTAGGGCTATGCTGGGTAAACCAGATGTATGGTCATCCTATTACTCGGATATCTGCAAATGTGTCATACATGGCTTCCTACATATGTGCACACAGAGAAATACAACTGTGAGACCGTGCACTACTTATCTCAGACATCTTCTGCATCAGTAATTATAAATCTACTGCATCACTTTCAAGGACTATGGCACAGGATGGTCACATGGTTGGGGTTTCTGGGTTCTGTTTTGGTTTCTGACTCTATAATGCCACAATAAGCATTCGTCCTACTGCAGTGCATTTTTGACTGATTAATTTCTAGAACAGGTTTCTAGATGTGGCGTTGCTGGATCAAAGGTAAGGAGTGTTTGCATCTGGCCCATATTGCCAACTGCTCGGGTGGCCTTTTCATAATCTCATTCCTAACAAGTATGTGCCAGTTCATAAAGTTCTACCTTGCTGTCTTTAGTGAAATCATTTAAACCCAAACTAAGTTTTGAGTTACTTAAAACTCCACAGAATTATTCTTCTTTCTTCCAAGTTGACACCCTAATCCTGCTGCTCTGATCCAGTTTTAGTGGAAACTTGGAAAGCTTATAAATCCCTTTTTTCCATCACTTAGGGGGTCCTCAGATCATTAGGAGGAAGGGCCTCATCACCCACACAGGACTGTCTTCTCTTTTAAAGGCTCCTGGTAACCTGGCCTCTACCTAAAAGGCCAAAGGGGTGGTTCTGATTTAATCTCATTTTTTATTCTGAGCTACAAGATGGACTGTGGGCATTTGTTTGGAGTCATTACATCTTACATGTTGAAACCAGCCAAGTAACTGACAAAGCCCTTTGTGCAGTTAGAAACAGAGCTGCCACGGAAGGCAGTATGGCCATGCCAGTGGGTACAGAGGGGATTCCAGGTTTGGCTCCCCTCAGCATACAGACCATACAATCACCTAACCTAAACTTCACTACATAGCCTCCAGATGCCAGAGTGTTTCCATCAGTTCCCCCTCATAAAATGCATAATGAAAACCAATATATCCAGGTGCCAGGCTTCTAAGAAGCTCAAACACTTGGAAGAGCTGTCACAGACCTATGTGATTTACCTTTTGTAGAAGCAAAGCCACCTAAAGACCATCATGTAGTCAATAGTGAAAAGGGAAAGAACAGACTCATTCTTCTCTCTGCTTTCTCCTTTTTCCAGACAGCAATCTGGGGCCATCTGGGGCAGTGGTAAGCCTCCAGCAACCACTACGGACACAAAGAATGTGAGAACTGGAAGAGAGTTGTGAGACCCTCAGTATGGTCTATACCTCTCATTCTAGCAGCCAGGAGGCCTGAGCCCAAAAAGGCAAGGACACCCGCTAAAGGTCACACCGGGAGCCGCTGGCCAATTTGGAGCCTGACTCTTCACCACCTGCCTCATGTCTGGTCTCTGAGAAGGGCACTGCCAAGGCAGGTTCAACCACAGGTCGTACCGTGCAATGGCGAGAACTCTAGCAGACGGGTGTGTGAGCAGCTCTGTGGCCCTAGGCCCATTGCAATTGAGCCATGTTTCCTTATCCATAGAAAGGGGAAAGTCATAATTAGCAAAAACCTATTACTAAAACTGGTGCTGGGAAATTCAGATAAAGTTTAAATAATGCCTATAGTAGGCTTCAGAAAACTACTCTGCCTCACCCACTGTCTTAGAGATGAATTACACTTGTGTAACTTCTTCCATTGAGCTGCTAATAAAGTCAGAAGAAAACTGTAAGCTTCATACATATTTGTAAAGCTTGGTCTAAACTCTTGGTTTATTCATGACTGCATTGACCAGAACTCAGTAATCACTAGATTAGACTCCGAAAGGCTCCGATCTTGCCAGCAGATGCTAATATATTTACTTAAAAGAAATAGTTGTTTTACTCAAACACTAATAATCATCAAAGTTAAGATGTAAAATGGAGCTACTCAAACTAGCTGTGATGAAGAACCAATTTTTGTTTTCTTTTGAAGTGTTCTAATCCACTGCTGGTACTTTTATAAAATACACTACAAGTGAATTTATAAAGGAACATGAAACAGGAGAAAAGACTGATACAACATAAGTCCACATTTTTTTCTTTCTTTTTTTTTTTTTTTAAAGATTTTATTCATTTATTCATGAGAGAGACAGAGGGAGAGAGAGAGGGAGAGAGAAGCAGAAGGAGAAGCAGGCTCTCAAGGAGCAGGGAGCCCGATGTGGGACTCGATCCCAGGACCCTGGGATCATGACCTGAGCCGAAGGCAGACGCTTAACCATCTGAGCCACCCAGGCACCCCACATTTTTTTCTTTTAAGGATTACCCTCATCAAATTGCTGGAAAAGTTTCTAAGTGCTTAGTCTCAAGTTTTATACTCAGTCCAGTCACGTGTGGACGGGCACACAATCTGCAGACCGCACTGACAAACAGCAAATACTGCCCACCCACCCGGGCCTCCCAGAATAGCAGGCATGTGCAGTGTGCTTCCAGGGATCAGCTAATTTACTGCTCAAAGCAATCACTGTCATCACCCACATCTTACACATGGACAAAGTGGGGCTCAGGGAGGTTAAGCCATTTGCCTAGGATCACAAGGCAAATCAGTAGGGCTGGGATCTAAACCTGGGACTACCTGTCTGAAGTCTGCACAAAATTCTGTTGTCTCCTGAGAGTGCTCACAGAAGCCGTGCAGTTTTCACTTTACCATTTAACTCAGAATATGTCATCATCATCCAGGTTGTAGGCAACCAAGCCCTGTTTTCCTATCTTCTTCCTGTTTTCTGGGCTTCTGGGCATTTTAATTAAGAGGAATACTAATGGTGGTAAAATTTACATCAATTAAGATATCTGGAAACAGACTGGGGAAAGACATTGTAACTCGGAGGGCGCCTGGGTGGCTCAGTTGGTTAAGCGACTGCCTTCGGCTAAGGTCATGATCCTGGAGTCCCGGGATCGAGTCCCGCATCGGGCTCCCTGCTCGGCAGGGAGTCTGCTTCTCCCTCTGACCCTCCCCCCTCTCTCATGCTCTATCTCATTCTCTCTCTCAAATAAATAAATAAAATCTTAAAAAAAAAAAAAAAAAGACATGGTAACTAGGAGAAAAATGGCCACCAAAATTGGACTTTAACATATTTTTTTTATTCCATACTTCTCCCCAATCATCAATGTGAGGTAAGGATGACTGGACGGATTTCCCATAAAGCTTACCTTGCCCAACAGCCGAATGCATTTTCTCCATGTCAAACTTAATTTTTGATCTTCCTGGAGTGCTAAGCATCTTTTCCCAAACTGCGGTTACTTCTTTGAGACAAGGAGTGATTTCTTCATAATCGAGCTTTAGGCGCTTATTCAGCAAATCATTTTCAGAGGCTAGAAGACATCATTTAAGAACATGTTAGAATGCTATGGCTGCCTACTCACACATCACTGCTGAGATGTCAAGCTGTTACAGCCAGCTTACCAGGTCCAAACTAAAGTTACTGTTCCTGCCCCACCCCATTTTCCTTACCTTGGAAAAAACTAAATGCACCTGGGAGGTATCCTTGATTTCTCTTGCCTCTTCATCACCCCCAATGAGTCCTGTTGGCTCTACTATTACAGTACCTCCCATACCTGTCCAGTTCCAGCAATCTCCACAGCTACCCTATTAAACTGCAAATATCTCAAGGACAGGAGCTGTGGGTTAAAAGTCCTGGTGCCCGGCATGCTTAGAGACCAACAAAATTTATTCATCTGAACCAGGAGAGACCCTCCAAGGATAGTTCCTCCTTGGTTAGAGCCAAACCTCCTTAGGTAGCTTCTACTTAGTCATGTTTCTGCTTCCCGCAGCTCAACAGAGGAAATCTGCCCCTCTCATAGGACATTGCCCCAAATACATGAAGGTAGTTATTATTTCCCACCAACCTTATTCAGCTTAAACTGCATTAAAAATGTACCTAAATTACCAAAATGGGGTGGGGGAGGGGAGAGGAATCAATAAAGGAAAAGTTTAACTTGACAATTCTCAGGATTCGACCAGACAATTTCCCTCCCATCTAAAACCACTCTATCCTATTTCGACACAGTGGTAATGCGATCAGCCCCCAAATCCATTCCATCTCACATCTCAGATCCTGACTACAAGTGTATTAGACAGCAGGTAGGATGCACAGCTAAGTATAAGCCAATACCTAGGCCTCTGCAGAACTGACCAACTACTGTCTTTTATGATATAATAAGCAAAGACTATGTCTTAAGTACTTTATATTTAGCAACATTTCACCCTAACGACTCTCTGAGGCAGAGTTCTGGGTGAGAAAACTGAGGCACAGAGGCTGAGTAGCTCCTCCTCTGTCCTCAGCAGGAGGTGGAGGGACCTGGGGCCCTTGCCCTTCTCCACTGCCCGGCAGAGCTTGCTGTGCTTAATTATACAGTTTTTCTGGGATGAGGCATATATCTATCGGGGGTCTTAAATGTTTGACAGAATCCAGTGGAGCTTTCTGGGCCTAGAGTTTTCCGAATGAAAGATTTCCAATACGAATGTGATCTCTTTAACAGATACAGGGCCATTCAGATCTTTTTCTTCTCATTTCAGTTTTGGTAAGTTGCACCTCTCACGAAGTTTGTCCATTCCATCTAAGCTGTTACGTTTCCTGGCATAAAGTCATTTTTTGTCCTAGAGACACTGATAAGTCAATGCAAACATCTCATGAGTCTGTCCTCCCCCAACCCCCTGAAAATATGTGCACTCTCCCTACCCCCACATTATTCAGGAGGAGAGGAGGCTGCTCATAGTAAGCCCAGGCCCACAGAAGTAGGAGGTGCTGGAGGCAGGATCTGAAGATCCCCGGCTTAACCACTATACTTCTTTGTACACTTCAGTGCCTATTATTTTTAAGATGGGAATTACAGCTACCTTACTGAGTTGCTCTGATGAGGATTAAAGGAGATGAAATATACTAAACATCTACAAAATGTCTACTAATCAGCAAGTGCTCACAAATTATCCAAAATATAAAGGCAAATAAGGAAAAGCATAAAACACTGCTTTACTAATTAAAGTGCTGATAACATGAAATAAAATATTTTCTTTCTCCATATTAGAAATTGAGCAAAGGCTAACTCCGTTAATCTGGTTAATGCTCCCCTAACAGTTAAGACCTGATTCACTAGATGCAAGGATTATGTACTTAACTGACCCAATTACCACCTTCAGGTACAAATGCACCAAAAGATGGCACTGAAATGGCTGCAGAGCTCCCTCGTCCAGCCCTCATTTCATGGACACAGACACTGAAGTTCACAGAAAGTACAGAGCTTGCCCAAAGTTATTTACCAGCTGGTGGGTAGTCAAATGACTCTGGGCCTGGTGCTGCCTCACCTGTGATTTTTCATCTACCACTTTATTCTTCTCCTTCTTAACTTTGGATAATGTTTTTTAAGGTCCCACTAAACAACCCTATGACAAATCGGGTTCAGGACTAGCTTTGCTGGGGACAGAGATTGCAGGTAGCACTGGGCTCTCGGTGCCAAAGGACGTTTCTCTGGCAGTGAGCTCTGCTGTGAGCCTTTGGGACTGACTGAAGAGCCCAGCAAGCAAAATGAGGAACCCGCTCTGAGGTCAACAGAGCGATACCATCGAGCCAGAAGATTCAGTTGAAAAGGCTTACTCCATGTATTTCACTGTTGGCCCAAGCACCATCCTGCTGTGAGTATCCCAACACTGCTGCCTAAGATCCGTAGTCTCCAAAATGTCTTATCAGGCAAGGCAGTTGGTGCATACTTGTGACAAACGTCAAGGCTCCCAGCCAAGGCCTTTAGATATAAGACCAAACTGCTTAAATTATTAAATAAGGGTCTACAAACCCATGATTGTGCTTTCTGGGGCTAGGGCAACCAGGACTACATGAGATCAAAGGTAACTTTGCAAAAGAGTCCTCTAAAATGTATATTACCATTTACCATGGATGCATGAGTGAACTTGGACTTTGAACTAATAATCTTCAGGTCTGATTTATGCCCATTACACAGGGTGGGCTGAAGCTGCCCATCCCCAATCCCGCACTATTAGCACTGCCTTCACAGATAAAATGTTCTTCCAACTGCCATCATTTCTTAAAAACTTAGTAAGGAAAGGCTAAAAGGCTGGAAGCATCAATGATTAAATGACCTCCAAACGTGTACAGATTTTAGAAAAATTACGCTCAATCTTTATTTTTTTACGGCCAACACAGGACAAAAACCTTTAAAAAAATACCTTCAGTTACGATTCAATTAAAATTCAAATGTGTTGTTATACCATTATGCAGATATAGTGTCTTTATTATTATTTTTTTGAAGATTTTATGTATTTATTTGACAGAGAAAGAGAGCACAAGTAGGCAGAGAGGCGGGCAGGGGGAGAGGGAGAAGCAGACTCCCCGTGAGCAGACAGCACGACATGGGGCTCAATCCCAGGACCCTGGGATCATGACCTGAGCCGAAGGCAGCCGCTTAACTGACTGAGCCACCCAGGTGCCCCCAGATAGTGTCTTTAATATGAACTTTAATATGAAGTATGAAATTCTGAATGACATGAGTCAGTTCAACAAGCAACAGTATGCTAACCCCAAACCATGGCTGTATTGAACCACACCCTGTCCTGCATTAGGCTGCCTGCATCTTCATTTATAATAGGGGGAAAATGGTCCTGCAGAGGGGCATGGCGGAGACTGTTGGGTGGGGAGACAGGAAATGCATTTTAGACCCAGCACCACGAGAAGTTAGCTGTTTAACTCTGGGGAAATCAGAATTCAGCTTCCAACTGCCTACAGTGGAGTGAAGTGGATTTAGATGATGTGGTTTAGTTCTTTCTCAGATGCAGTGGTTCTGGAATAGTAACAGATACTTAATCTACATATTCAAAAGCCAGGAAATAGACTTAAGCATAGAAGAACCCCCTCATACATGTTCTTCTAACTTCTTTCCCAAACAGCAAGCAATTCAGCTTTAACACCTGATCAATTTCAACCACTCCCAGTCACAATTTAACTTTCCTTTAAAAAGCAACTAAAAGTGGCACCTGGGTGGCTCACTCAGTTAAAGGTTCGACTCTTGGTTTCGGCTCAGTTTGTGATCTCAGGGTCACGAGACTGAACCCGTCTGCACTCTAAATAGAGTTTGCTTGAGATTCTCCCTCTCCCTGCCCCTCCTGCTTGTATGTTCTCTCCCTAAAAGAAATAAATAAGTTGGGGCGCCTGGGTCAGTTAAGCGTCTGCCTTTGGCTCAGGTCATGATCTCAGGGTCCTGGGATCAAGCCTGTGTCAGGCTCCCTGCTCAGTGAGGAGTTTGCTTCTCCCGCTCCCTCTGCCCTTCCCCCCACCCACGCTCATGCTCTCTCTCTCAAATAAATAAAATACAATCTTAAAAAAAAAATCTTTAAAAAAATAAAAAACAACTAAAAAAAAAAACCCAATGCAATAGAATGACTGTCTCTCTAGTATACAGTACACTCCTGGTTGGTTCTTGTCAAATCTTGCTTCTGTATTTATTTAAAGATTTATTTATGTGAGAGAGAGAGAGAGAGAGAGAGAGAGTGAGCATGGGGGGGGAGCAGAGGGAGAAGAAGAGAGAGTTCCAAGCAGACTCCACGCCAAGTATGGAGCCAGAAGTGGGGCTCAATCCCACAACTCTGAGATCAACGACCTAAGCCAAAACCAAGAGTCAGTTGCTCAACTGACTGAGCCACCCAGATACCCCTTGTTTCTATATTTAATGAGAAAGTTCTGTGCCCATCCCACCCCAACAAAGCTTACCAAATGTTTTTTAGGCAATTCATGGTCAGGTTCTTATTGATGATTAAGCTTCTCAGCAATATAGGTACTGTAATGCACTGAAACCATGCTTTCTAAATTATATTAAAGAAGCTTATTATGCTTTCACCACAAAGGTAAACATATGCTGAACTTTAAAGAGCTAAGAAGAGAAAATTAATTCAAACAGCAAGAACGAAAGACCAGCCAGGACTGACCACTGCCAGATGAAATAAGGAAGCAGCAGAAGGGCCAGTGAACGCAATGCAACACCTGGCAAGGTGTTCCAGGGAGCCTGACGAAACTCTTCCCCGCTCATTCTTCTCTGTCTGGTCATCACTTACACAGCTTTACAAAAGCTCTGCTTCTGTGGCATACTGATCTTATCGCGTCGATGCAGTCATGATGCCTCCTAACATCCCAAGAAGCCAGCCAGCACCATTCCCATTTTACAGCTACGCCCTGATTTTCCATGGCTGTCATTTCCAGCAAGATTGGCCAGGATAAGTATTAGGATTTACGACCTACACGACGAACATAACTGCCTCTCCGCTTTTCAACAAAAATCCCAACCAAAAGACACGAGTGTGAGTGCTGTGCTCCAGAGCCGTCATTCAGCTCATGCTCATTTAGCACTTGGTGATGTCATCACAGTCAAATCTCTTTCCAACATCTGCTTTTACTTGTTTTTTAAAGATTTATTTAGACATCTGCTTTTAGAATGGCCTTCAAGAACACACAAGAAAACAGCAGGAAAACAGAGCTGGAAGAAAACTTAGCATTCAGTGCTGTAAAATCCCCTTGAGCGGCACCCCTTCCACAGCACCATCCGGGGATGACCCGTCTGCCTTGACACCGGGGACAGGGCTGGGGGTGGGGTGGGGGGGCGGAGCCCACAGTATCCATCAGTGGCCCATTCCAGCCACGAAGCTACTTTCATAACAAAAGGTCTTATTACTTTGTATCTGACTTCTTGTTTTTGATCAAAGATGACACACTTTTTTGGACTATGAACCTTATTCATCAGATTCGGTGTCTTAATAACTTTCACCTCTATACAGATCTCAAGATAAAAGATGAAGATCTGCAGTCAAGAAGTAAGTTCAATGAAAGGTACTCTACTTGCACAATTGCCCTGGGCCATGGCGGCACAACTCAACTGCCTCCCTCTGGATGATACGTCTGACTTCCTGCTCAAAATGACCATGATTTCGCATCCAGGGAGTGCTCTATACTGCTAGACCCATGTTCTTTCCATCAGACCACCCACTTAGCTTCTGAGCTACTAGGAAAATAATATTTTTTGGTTCAAGCAACAGTATAGAAACAGGAAATGAACAAAATCTAAACTTGCAAAGTTTATGTCTTATTCTTGATACTGATATAACCCCTGGCAAGAATTTGGCTGGTCTGAGCCTCAGTTTCCTCTTCAGGCTAATATCTGCCTTCCAGAGCTGTCAGCATTAAACGAGTCTGTCTATATAAAACCTTGGTATCAGTTCGGGTAGAACTCCGCTAACGCTAAAGCTTAGTCCTCTTCAGATCACCTACAACCCACCAAAAATGCACAGAGTGAGGTTATGAACTTAAGTGATTTGTGTAGGATTAGTTCATACCTACCAGCCAAGCACAGACTGTGGCTGAGGGCAAAGTACGGAGAGGGAGAGAAAACAAAACAAAAAACACTCTTCAGAGGGTTGAAGCTTACATTTGAAGGTTGTCTCTTGGAAGTTCTACATGTTATGCTAAAAATGACCATATAGGAATAATTTAATATAGTTGGTGAGATTATCATGAACTCTCCAGAAAGTAAAAAGCATTAACTTGACTTTGAAAAAGTAAACATATTTCATATATATACATATGTATGTATGCTAGAGGATCTTGTTTTTCTTTTTAAAGACAGCATACTTATATGTCTGATGTGATTCACTTCAGAGCCAAGATAAATTATCAGGCCTGTCATTCTAAAAAAATGGCAAACCAACCTTGCAGCTTCTGATTTTCCTTCTCCATTCTAAGGAGCAGTATCTGTTGTAAAATAGCCTTTTGCCATAACTCTCGAAGCTCGTGAGATGTCCTTTTCTTTTCCTCTGGGACGGGGCCGAAGGGTCCATCTTCACAAACTGGTTCTAAAGGAGATCGTGGTGGAAGCTCTCCCAGTTCTGAGTAATCTGGGGATAGAAAAGGACATTTCAGAATGGTCATTTCTTTTTTTAATACAGATTTAAACATAGTGTCAAATCAGAAAATTTCTGTTCATTCAGATTTTATGAAATGGTGTCACCAGACTTAAAATTTTTAAGTTTTAATATGCATTGAAATAAGTTAGGTCTGAGCCACAACCATCAAATTATACATCAAATAGCAAGGAAAAGTTGAAGGAACTGAGGAAATGTTCAAAGACACCTACTTTTAAAGGTGTAATATTCCTGTTTTCTTCTGAGTCAATGACTGTATTATTAGTAATAGCAAACATTCACAGAGTGCTCACTCCATACCAATCGTTCTGAGGGCTTTATGGATACTAGCTTATTTAACACTCAACCACCCTAGGATAGAGCTACTATAAGTATTCAGTTTTAAAGAAAAGCAAACTGAAGCACATTTGACACCTGCCAAATGTCACAGAGCTAGGAAGTGTAGAACCAGGATCGGGGACCCAAGCAGGCTGGCTTAACCACCATGTTATAAGGCTAGGTATTCTGGAAGAAGACTAACGCGTATTTAATAGCCAATAATAACAGTGACCATTAACGGGTCCTCCACCAAGTGCTGGGCACCATGCCAGGTGTTTTATATAGACAGACTCATTTAATCCTGATGACAATTCCAGAAGACAAGGATTAGCCTGAAGAGAAAACTAAGGCTCAGAGAAGCAAAGGAAGGTGCCCAGGGTCAGACAGTGAATAAGCAGGTGTGGTGCGATCCCAACCAATGTCTGCCTGACTTGGAAGTTCATGCTTTCTGCTCGATATCCCTGTAATTCAAATGTTTCCTACGTCATCAAGTTTCAAATTTCTATTTATTAGTTGAAATCTCTTTACATTTCATGAATTTGTACCCTTCTCAACTGCAGACCCCATGTGGCTGGGACACAGTGCTGTTGTTGCAACTCACAAATACCTTACAGACAAGCAGAACATCCCACCAGCTTACTCTGAAACTAGCTACAAACAGCAAAAGTTCTCATATGGAATATTACTCAGCCATCAGAAAGGATGAATAACTACTGTCTGCCTCAACACGGATGGAACTGGAGGGGATTGTGCTAAGTGAAATAAGTCAAGCAGAGAAAGACAATTATCGTATGGTTTCACTCATCTGTGGAACATAAGGAATAGAGTGGAGGACCACAGGGGAAGGGAGGGAAAACTGAATGGGAAGAATTCAGAGAGGGAGACAAACCATGAGAGATTCTTTGACTCCAGGAAACACACTGAAGGTTACAGAAGGGAAGGCGTGGAGGGATGGGGTAACCGGGTGATGGGTATTAAGGAGGGCACGTGTGGTGATGAGCACTGGGTGTTATACGCAACTAATGAATCTCTGAACATAACACCAAAAACTAATGATGTACTTCTATGTTGGCTAATTGAACATAATAAAAAAAAAGTTCTTATATGAGTGGGCCCCATCTGAGGCAATGCATTGTTGGGTATTTCTCTCTAAACTGAACCTAAGTAAAATCACAGTCCTAACATTCTGTGAAAAGCCCTTGACAGACAACCCGAATTTCACAACCACCCAGAACACAACATACAATCTCTTCCAGTGTACAGTTCCAACAAAATTCCACACTACAATTAATTTCCAGAAGAGTTTCAGCATTGATTGCTCATTATCTAAAGGTGGGTTTGATTTCCTGCTATGAAATCTTTGAAATCAAACACAAGCTACAAGTTTCGTTTTATAAAGTGACTTGCCCATCTTAACTCCTATTAAAGTTACTGGATTAAAAAGAATTATGATAAGCATTAAGAATGCTTTGTGATGTCTGTAAGCATTCAAATGCTTGTCATCACATTTCTATGTCTATTTCATTATGATCCTATTAAACGAATGAATAAATTAAAATTCTTCTTTTGGAGGTAGTTTTTATGAACGTTATAGGAGGATGCTCATGTGAAATGGTCAGTATAAAAGCAGGAATAACAATTGTTGTGTGGTAGGATCTCAATCTTAAAATTATTATGAGGAGCAGGACTGTTCAGTGACTAAAAGGTCAGGCTCTGGAGCCAGGCTGTCTGGGTTTTAATTAAGACTATGCATTTTTTGATTTTGTGACCTTCAGCAAATTGCTTAACCCCTTAATGCCTCAGTTTCCCAATCTGTCAAGCAGGAATAACAGCACCTCCCTCACAGAAGTGTTACAGGGACTGGGGCACCTGGGTGGCTCAGCAGGTTAAGCATCAACTCTTAATTTCAGCTCAGGTCATGATCTCAGGGTCGAGAGAGCTGTGCTCTGCGTGGAGTCTGCTTGTCCCTCTCCCTTCCCCTGCTTGCATGCGCTCTCCCTCTCTCTCTAAAATAATTTTTTTTTTTTAAGAAGTGTTACAGGGATTGAGTTAATTCATATCCTATAAACTACCTGAAACAGGGTCGAACACACAGTAAGAATACAGTGAGTACTAGCTTCTTATTAGTTGCTATTACATAGTCCTTAACAGCACAGAAAAAAACACTGGAAGGAAAACACTTAAAAATTTATCCACTCAATTGTAAGCTCTAAGAAGGCCAGACAGGCCACCTTGTCAGTGAGGGTTCACCTAGCACCCGGCACAGTGCCTGCCACCTAACAGGTGCTGGGCAGATCCTGCTGAAGAAGAGAGACAGGTGGGTGCTAGGTTTGCATGTGCTTCCTGCTGTTCTTTGTATTTCCTAAATTCGTGACAATAAACGTAATTTTTAGAACCAACTGAAGAAAAGTAATGCAAATCTGTTCCGATTTAAATCAAAGATTGCAAAATGTTCTGCAAAACACTTAGAAGACAAACCAATCCCCCCAAACTTGTGTACTTAGCATTAGTTGGTACTGAATATGATACAGCTGAAGTTTACCCTTTTTTTTCAGAAGGCATTTTAGTTAGTATTCTCATTCAATCTTATTCTGCAGCCTGGAGTCTTCCATCTGAGCTCTTCCCTTTTTTCTTTTACCATCTTGGCTGTTGAAACTCTGCTGGACACTGCGGTGGTGATTCAAGTTCTGCTTCACCTCATGCTGAAGGACTCACAAGGGTCGACGGGGAGACGGCCTTGCCGTGGGGCAGCCTCGTCATAAAGTAGTTTAGTGACTTACAAAAGACCGATAGTTAACTGTCAGTTTGTTCTAAATCTGGCCTGGCTAAATGAATCCAAGTGGGCTGTTTTCTTATCAATGCAAAGAGACGCAAGTTTGGGCCGAGGGTGGCCCTCTTTCATGGACACATGCCTGGTGTACGGAGTGCCTGGGGTACAGTCTTGTGAGACATGTACTCAGCAGCATGGGGCTGAGTGGAGTGGCAGGGCCAGGGAGAGGATAATATGAAGATGTTGGTCAATTGGCAGCTGAGAATCTTATTCTAATAATAAATGTGTGCATTATTTTAACTTGGATCATTCCTAAGCCATTTACACCAGTTATTTATCAAGTCCCTTATATACCTGGGATGTGACATGCTAGGTGGTCTAAGAGAGGCTTTGATTTTCTAACATTCTTTAGAACAACACTGGGGATCTGGCTTCCTTCCCGGACCGATACTCTTGCTGAGAGGCTGCCGTACAGAGACTGATGGGGGAGAGCAGGGAGGAACTGGGCTAGGGTCCCTCCACCCCCAGGCTGGCTTGGCAGTCCCTCTTTGTAAACCTCTGTAAACACGTGCACCTTTGGGGTTCCAGTCCCTCAGTGCAAAATGTGAGAAATGATATTCCCCTCTGACTGCCCCAACTGTGGAGCCGACAGGCACTGACAGACACACATACTTCTACATCTGCAGGGCCCTGAAACCAAAAGGCCACAATAACACGCTAGCCTAGGATGAGACTTTACCTTTCGGACATGCCCTATAATGACAAGATGGAGCATGCTTCATTACAACAGAGCCTTTCAGAAACAATCGTTTTCAATGGGTTCTAAGAACTTCAAAGCCAGCCACAAGTCAGGGGTCCTGCGAGACAATCCTTGCTGGGACATTCTCAACAGGGTCATAAATAGGATCTAGCTTGGTGCGTCAATACTTTAGCTGCCAAACTGTCCTCCTGAGACTGTGCTGCCACATTCTTCTTGCCCCGCTCTGCACACAGGTGTGTGGGGAAGAGCATGACCCTGCACCATCAGTAGGAACACGGCCGACGCTGTGACAGGGCAGAGAAAACGGACATGTGCACACAGCCTCCCAATTGTCCCGCGCTGACTGAAAAGTACGGAGTACGGGCCTGCTGGCTGGTACTTTCACGAGACACTGCTATCAGGTTTGAACTGCTCTTCTCCTCCTTGTAGAGACCTGACACTGAATCACACATTAAGTGCCTTGTAAGAAAGGGGCGCTCTGGGAGGAACATGAAGAGATAGGCCCTTCTTCAACATTCTGGGTTTTCCATTATCCCACAGCAGAGCATTTTTTTTTCCAAAGATTTTACCCATTTATATTTGAGAGAGAGAGAATGAGAGATAGAGAGCACTAGAGGGAAGAGGGTCAGAGGGAGAAGCAGACTCCCCGCCGAGCAGGGAGCCCGATGTGGGACTCGATCCCAGGATCATGACCCGAGCCGAAGGCAGTCGCCCAACCAACTGAGCCACCCAGGCGCCCCCACAGCAGAGCATTTTTATAACTCTCTCCATCTCAAAAATCCTGATCTCCCATGCCAAAAGAGAAAGACATGTTTAAGATTTCAGCTATTCTGAAACCTCTGCTTTAGCAACATGAATAGACTTTGGAAATGAGAATTAAAACTGAACAATAAGCCTCTGGAGAAAAGTTAACAACAATAGGGATTAACGTCTGCAGCATCTGTTGTTACCAACAACTGAAGACAACTTCTTAAAAACCAGAGTAAAATGACCGTGTAGACTTAAGAAAGGAACAGGCAGTCCTCTATGAATGCTGTCAAACTGTTTACAGAGCACGAACAACTTTACCTCTCCTGCAACAATGTCGCTGTGGGAGAGCAGAGACTTCTGTGTCCCCTGCTCTGC